TGATGCTGTCTGGCCTGCCGTGTTCCTCCAGCTCCACACTGTGTCATCCTTATACAGTCTGGCCTGTTTGTGACTCCAGACCCACAGCAAAGTGGTTGATTCGTAGCTGCTGACTGGATAATTAGAAATGGGCAGTAAATGTTGGCCTAACCAAAAATGTCCACATCCCATGTGTAAATCAAAAAAAAAACTCACTGCACATAAAAAAAACTCTCCTCACCTCCACCAGTGTTTCTCTCGTGAAAGCTCATCCATCAAACAAACATAGCAAGAGGGTATTTGTTGTATGCCTGGTTACAGGAAAAAACCAAAAGCATGAATACCTTTTGGCTGAGAGATGATAAGTGTCACTTCATCGGGGGCATTCTGTAGAATCTCTGCTGCAGTTCTGAAAGTGACCCCCTCCAGGCTCTCTTTATTCACTGAGATCAGACGGCCCCCTGCAAAAGTCAAAAGCAGGAAATTGATTTGAACGGAGAAAGGTGGATGTGAAAGTGACTGCATTCGATGACAAAACGCACAAAAGAATCAGTGGTCACCTTCTTTAACACGTCCATCTTTGTCTGCTGGGCCTCCTGGCATGACTGACGCAATAAAGATCCCCAGGTCTAATTTCCCAGTACGCTCTCCTCCAACAATCTGAAACCCTGCGAATAAAGGTAGAGTTAAAGGGAGTCTTTAGGGTCTGGAATGCACTGCCTGGAATTGTAGTGGAGCCAGCTTCAATTGAGACATTCAAGAAAGAATTGGATGAGTATTTGGATAGAAATGGTGCGCAGGATGTGAGAAAAAGGCAGAATACTGGCACTTGGTAATAGAAATGGTGCATGCATAATGGGCCAAAGGCTTCTTTTAGTGTCATAACAATTTTGTGATTCTGTAAATCTGCTCTGTACACATTTACGCCCTCAGTCCTTCCTGGGTTCTCTCCTGTGCCTAATGGCATATAAGACAGACAAAGCACACATTTACGTTTGTTTCCAGGGCTAGAATTTCCTGGAACAGTTTACCACCCTGGCATCAGATGCTGTAGGTGGAGGACGTGCCACCTCCACATCAAGCTTGACTGGCCAAGAGACTCTCACAATCTTACCATCTACCACAGGTAAATGACATGTTGGCCACATCACAAATGGCCATCCAATCCCACCACAAAAGTCGAACCTGGAGCTTTGGCTCAGAGGCAGAGAAACTACACAATGCATTGCAAATCCCCCTCACTCATTTATTATAACTCATCCATTTCACTGCATCAAAATTTCTCAAGCATTTTTCGTACTCTTCAAATCGAATGATTGTCATTACACAGGAAAATGCAATAGTGCCAACAGCTACCAAATAACACAGGAAGTGATAATGGTTACATTGCTAGACCAATAATTCTAAGTACTAGAGAGAGTTTAACTCTCCAGTGACAGTCTAAACACTTCCTCTTAATATTCAACAGCTTCACTAGGATTGAATCCCTCACTATAAACATTCTGAGGGTCAGTGTTCACCAGAATTGGGGCAACCATATAATTACTGCGAACAACAAGAGCAGGTCAGAGGTTGGGAATTTTATCACCATAACTCACGTCTTAATTCCCAAAGCCTGTCCACCATCCACAGGGGAAAAGTCCAGAGTATGAGGGAATCCTCTCCACTTACCTAATGAGCGCAACTCCAACAACACTCAAGACACTTGATACCATCCAGGACAGAGCAGTTCTTGATAGGCACCCTATCCACCAACTTAAGCTCTCATTCCCTTTACCACCAACAGACAGTGAGCGACAATAGTTTCTACCATTTACAAGATGCACTGCAGCAACTTGACAAATCTGCTTCAACAGCTCCTTCAAAACCCATGGCCTCCACTATTGAGAAGGACAAGGATGGCAAATACATGGGAACACGAGTAGAAAGTTCCCCTCCAAGTTATACAGAACCTCAGGCTGTGAATACATCACTGTTTCTTCACCGTTGCTGGGTCAAAATCTGGGAACTTCCTTCCTAACAGTACTGTGAGTGGGCCTACACCAAATGGACTGCAAGAAGGCAGCTCAATACCACTTTGCCAAGAGATGGAAAATAAATGGGCAGCACGGTGTCTCAGTGGTTAGCATTGCTGCCTCACAGCACCAGGGACCTGAGTTTGATTCCAGCCTCGGGTGCCTGTCTGTGTGGAGTTTGCACATTCTCCCTGCATCTGTGTGGGTTTCCTCTGGGTGCTCCGGTTTCCTCCCAGAATCCAAATATGTGTGGGTTAGGTGGATTGGCCATGCTAAATTACCAATAGTATCCAGGGATTTTCAGACTAGGTGGATTGACCATGGTAGGAATGGAGTCCCAGGGATAGGGTAAGGAGGTGAGTCTGGGTGGGATACTCCTCAGAGAGTCAATGTGGATGTGTTGGACCGATTGGCTTGTTTCCACACCATAGGGATATTGTGGAAAAGACTAGGACTGTTTGTTTCAGTGGTTGGTTATCTAAGTTGCCTCGGAGACCAGAATTCCCTGAAGTGGGACTTTTGAACAACCAGGTTGGGCTTTTGTTTTATAATTCATTATGGCAGCACCTCTAACCATGCTACACACCTTCTGTATTGCACAGGAGAGTCGACTAAACCATTGGACTGGGCCTTAGTCAGAAATCATCAGAAACCCTCCATTAAATATACATTCATACCTTAGGTGCTTAGACTTGGGAGAAAAAGACTGAGAGAAAGACAAAGTTAATGTATTGAGTTCAGTGACCCTTTGTCAGAATAGGGTCACCAGACTCAAAACATTAACTCCATTTTACTCTCTCCATTATGCTGCCAGACCTGCTCAGTTTCTCTATCACTTTATGCTTTTGTGTCAATGATTTGACTTTGATTTTCCCAGCAGGACAGAAAGCAGGCAAGAAAATTGCTTTCCTGAGCCACAAAAGCAAAGCTTTGGGCTTGTACCCCACACCCCCTCAAAGGGCTTACCCCAGTATTCCCCCCAAATTTTGCAGCCCTCTCAAACTGCCCCACAGCCAATTACCCAAATACCTTGTGCATCCTGCCTTCAGACCCCAGTGACAGTCTCCTGCTGCTCGATAATCTGCTTCTCTTTGGCAAACACATGAACTGGAGCCCCACGTGGCCAACGCAGACATTCCGTCACAGTTAAAATCTCTTGACTCCCATGCCACTAAGATTAGAATGATTTGTCACTCACCTCACAGCCCTTATCCCAAACCCCAATCCATCCTTGTGCATTAAAATCAGGCCTTTCACATCTCTCCTATCTTTCAAATGACAAGAATCAAGCCTAACTCTTCATTGAAACTTACCATTCAGAAGCAAATAGCTAAGACTAACCGCCGAATGTTATGACCTCAAAAAATGTTTTATTAAAACTCGGTTGGAGGTTTATCGTTTAAATCCTTTTCAAGGGATGTTCGCATTTGTTGCCAATTCCTAATTGCCCATCAACTGAACAGATCTGTTTGGAGGGCAGTTAAGGCTCACCCGCATTGCTGTGAATCTGGAATCACATATAAGCCAGACCAGGTAGGGAAAGCAGATTCCCTCCACTCCTCAACTCTCTCTCCCCTTATACACTGTCGCTGGAATCTATTTTTGTGCCCTGATATTTCCGTCTTTGATTCAGTGCGGAGTTTTACCTTGCCTTGGCTCTGCAATATTATATAATACTGAAGGCATCAGATGAATGCAAGTTGCGGTAGCTTTAACATTTTTACAGAAGGAACCACTTTCACAATTAACAGGCCTTTAAAGTGGGACAATGTCACAAGGCACAGATGTAATCAGAAGCAGTGTGAATCTGGAGTCACACATAAGCCAGACCAGGTAAGGACAGCAGATTTCCTTCCCTAAAGGGGTATTTATGAACCAGATTGCATTTTTGCAAGAATCAATGATTGTTTCATCACACAGACCAGCTACCAATTCCAGATTTATTTAATTGCATTTAAATTTGACCGGTTGACCTGGTCGAATTTGAATTCATCTCAACAGAGAATTAATCCTGGCCTCAGGATTACTAGTCCAGTGACATTACCACAATGCCACCAATTCCCCGGGTCCCTGTGTAATGAGGGGATTAATTAAAAGGGGTCACATTTTTAAACCAAGGGAAGTGAATCACACTTGGTGTGCTTGAATCTTGACAGGTTGAACAGCACAGTGCATTAATGGAAGCTATGTAATCTGAAATGCAGTCTCTCAACTCAACCGTGACTTTTCATAAATCAGTCAGGAGTCTGATGACAAATATTTCATCACTGACCTTTCCCTGGTACAGATACTCAAAAAAGAAAGGGTCAGTCTACACAAGAGACAAACCTATACACATTACATACCATCTCCTGTATAATTTATTGGTTTTAACGAAAATATATTTATTGCTTGTACTGGGTATGTTGAGACAAATAGCCATAAATCTGACTTGGCCTCCAGAGAGGCCTAACCAACAGTTAATCAATTTAGTAATAGACTGATTTACCCAGAGGCTTGGAGGTGAGCACATTACACTTCAAAGGCTTCAATGAAGGAAAAATGTACTTAACTTGTAACTGTTTAAAAGAAACAGAAACAGTAATCTCAAGGAAAAAATTGAAAGCAAGGTTATAGTAAATTGTTTATGGGCTTTCTACCACATGAAATATCTGAACAGCGCCTTCCCTGATTGGGAAACAGTCATTCCAATTCTTAAATTAATGACACGCCCTCAAAACCAAAACAAGTTCTGTGCAAAGATCAATCATTTCCACTTTAATTACAACGAGGTATCACTTGCTTTTTATGTTCATAGAATGAAGAAGAATGGATCCTGGAGATGATTAATTTTTCTTGATAAGCGATGCTTAACTGGAGGATATGAATATAGAGTTAGGGCCAAAACAGCTCTAAAATTAAAGAAGTCTTGTCGTCATCTTGTCAGACATTTTTTTTTTAAATTCCAGGCATGAGGGTATCATTTAGTTAGGTCAGTTTATTGCTCATCCCCAATTGCCCTTGAGAAGGTGGTGATGAATTGCCTACTTAAACTCCTGCCGTCCATGTGTTTAGGTATACCCACAGTGTTACTAGGGAGGGAATTACGGGATTTTGACCCAACAACAGTGAAGACATATTGATGAGTAACATGGTCCTAAACCAGCATGGTGTGCGACTTGGATGGGATATTGCACATGGTAGTTTTCCCACGTATCTGCTGCCCTTGTCCTTCTTGGTGGTAGAGGTTGTAGGTTTGGAAGTTGCTTTTGGAGGAGCCTTTCACAATAAAGCACATAATGCCCAATTAACCAGTGGTTTAAAAGAAGAGCTGGACACATAAACGGGTTATTGATAATCATAGCTTAAGATAACCAAGACTAGTACAGGATATGAGGTTTTCTGAGACATTGGAATGGTGAAGTTCTCATGGCAAAGAATGCAAGAGGCCAGGTTTATTTGGTGGAATGGGTATTTTAGAAACTTGCAAAGTTATCCTATCAAAACCAAGAGAATACTTGGTGAAACTGATCCTCTGGAGGTTAAGTATAATCAACTGAGACAATTATCATTTGAGCTCGATGAAATAAATGACTTTTTCCAGTCTATGAATTTTTATGTTCGACCATAAGACCATGAGAAATCGGAACCGCAGTAGGCCATTCAGCCCCTTGAATCATTCTATAGTATCATGGCTGATCTGACATTCCTTACGTGTTCTTTCCTGTCCTTTTCCCCGTATACCCTTGATATCAAGGCTGCACACCAGGTGTGGCATGAAGGATCCCTGGCAAAACTGGAATCAATGGACACAATGGGGACAAGTTCTCCGGTAGTTGGAGTCATACCTAGCACGTAGGAAGATGGTCGTGGTTTTGGAGATCAATCACCTCAGCTCCAGAACATCTCTGCAGGAGTTCCTCAAGGTAATGTCCCTGCATCTTCAGCTGCTTCATCAATGACCTTCCCTCCATCATAAGGTCAGAAGTGGGGATGGTTACCAATAAGTGCACAATGTTCAGCAACATTTGTAACTCCTCAGATACTGAAGCAGTCCATGTTCAAATGCAGCAAAATCTGGACAATATCCAGGCTTGGGCTGACACGTGTCAAGTGATATTTGCACCACACAAATGCCAGGCTATGATCATCTCCAGTAAGAGACAATCTAACCACCATCCCTTGACATTCAATGAATACCATCACCAAATCCCCCATTATCAACATCCTGGGGGTTATCATTGACCAGAAATTCAAGTGGACTCACCACAGTGGCTACAAAAGCAGGTCAGAAGCTGGGAATACTGTGGCGAGTAACTCAGCTCCTGACTCCCCAAAGCCTGTCCACCATGTATAAGGCACAAGTCAGGGGTGTGATGGAATACTCCCCACTTGCCTGGATGAGTGCAGCTCCATCAACAGTCAAGGCGTTTTGACACCATCCAGGACAGAGCAGCCCGCTCGACTGGCACTACATCCACAAGGATCCACTCCCTCCACCATTGACACTAGCATCAGCAGTGTGTACTATCTACAAGATGCACTGCAGAAATTCACCAAAGATCCTCAGACAGCACCTTCCAAACCTACAACCACTCCTATTTGGAAGGACAAGGGCAGCAGATACATGGGAACCACCCCCCCACCCCTCAATTTCCACTCAAAGCCACTCACTATATCGCCGTTCCTTCACTGTCGCTGGGTCCAAATCCCGACATTCCCTCCTCATTGACATTGTGGGTCAAACCAGGGCTCAGAGACTGCAGCGGTTCAAGAAGGCAGCTCACCACCACCTTCTCAAGGGCAACTAGGGATTAGCGATGAATGCTGGCCAGCCAGCGACACCCATATCCCAAAAATGAATAAAAAAAGGATAAGGCCACAAGAAATAGGAATAGGAGTATACCGCTTGAGCCAAACGCATGGCAAGGAATCAAGGCATGCCTGGTATTTGAACACAGGGCCTACTGCATACAACAATCTGACTTACCCAAAGTCTTGGAGCAAGATGTTTAAGCAAGAATCATACCCCAAAACCAACAAACCAATGTTCTTAGCACCTAAATCTGTAAGTCAACAGAAAACCAGTGTTCTTAACATCTAAATCTGTAAGTCAACAGAAATTATTATGAAAGACGAAGAATAGAGCCCACTGTTAGTCAGATTTGCTCCTTCATATTTAATGACACCAACATTTTGCTGAAAGTGCAAGACTATAACAGCATGGCATCATCTAGTGGGCACCTGAGATCTGAGTGGAACAGGTGTTGGATATGGGCCTGAGAGGGTTAACACTTGTTTGAATGCAGTCACTGTACTAACGTTCTCAGGGGTTGCTAAGAGTAAGGAAGAAGTTTGTAGGAGCCATGTTTGAGGTTAGTGTACTCCTAACAGTCTCTGAAGGAATGTAGCTCATGTCTATAAATGCTTGCAGTGAGACAATATTCTTCAATTTACTCAACAATGTTCTTTTGATTAGACCAGGCAGGTGTCCTCATTCACATTTCGGCTTAAAGGCAGGTTTACACAATACACAGAAAGTAATTGTGCATCTTTCTAACCAATCAGTCTCAAATATTTGAAAAAGTGCACAGTTTGTACAGGCATCTGCAGTTCTTACTATCTCACAGTTTGAGTAGGGCTGTGTAATGTAAGATGGTGAATTAAAACAGAAATTTAAATAAAGGGTAAAGAGGATCGGATTAAGAGAGAGCAAAAAAAAAATCTGAAGAAATCGTAAACAGATTTTTTTTAAAACAATAGAATCTACACCCTAGCCCCCATTATTAAAAGCTGAAGGAATGAGATTTGTTATGACATTTGATTCCATCACGTTATGTTTTAAACTATCTCCCTCAATTCAACAGTGTAGTGGATGCCAGGACATTGAGTAAATTCAAGGTGCAGATGGACAAATTTTTTAGTAGTAATGGGTTGAAGGTTATGAGGAGCTGGCAGGAAAGTGGAGGAGAGGCTGAGATAGGATTAGCCATTGTCGAATTGAATGGAACAGGCTTGAAAGGCTGAATTACCTACTTCTGCTCCTAGCTCTGATGTTCTTATAATCTTATGTAAATCTCTGTGGCAACTTTGGCTCATATCTACACCCTGTTATTCACTGATGTGAATGCTCAGCCAGCAGGGAGGTAAAATTTATTAAGGTTATGTTAAAGCTGCGCAACTCAGTTGACAACTTTTGGATTTCTGCATTTTTATGCGCGTCTGCCCTTGCCTGAATTGATTGCATCATTTACGGATAAATAAGAGCTAGTGGGATCAGTATTATTTTAGCAGTAATCTGTAGGCTAATAAGAAGATCCAATAAGGTGAAGAGCAATTATTTCACATACCAAAACCAACTTTGGGATCTTTCTTCAGGGTCACAAAGACAATCTCCCTCTCAGGTATAGTCATCTCAGTGTCCAGTTTGTTCTCTGATGCCCCTGTGAATAAAAGGTACATGTGAGATGTCAGAAAGAGAGCAACAGCAACACTGCTATACAGTAATTAAAACTGGATAGGTTAAGCCCAGCTTAATTCTCTAGGGGGCATGGGTTTGAATCCCATCACAGCAGATGGTGAAATTTGTGATATTTCAAAAATCTGGGAGGGAAAAAAGCTTTTCTGATGATGACCATGTCATTGTCACTTGTCACAAAAAACCCATCAGGTTCACTAATGTCCCTTAGGGAAGGAAATCTGCCATCCTTACCTGGTCTGGATCCAAAACAACAGCAATGTGGTTGATTCTTAGCTGCCCACTGTGTATAAAGATTGAGTCATAAATGCCGATCTTGCCAGTGATGACCACATCCCATAAATGAGTATTTAAGAAAAAAAGTATCAATAACTGAAGATATCTCAACTCTGGTCTTTTGTGTATCCTCCACTTCACATGATTTACCTTCCAACTGCTTGGATCCTATGCTCTTCTCTACAACTCTCTCCTCCCTTTTAAACTGTTCCTAGAATTGACTTCTGTGCCCTGATGTCTCCTTTGATTTAATATCTGCGTATGCTTTGCAATATTTTATCATGTTAAAAAAAACATTAGTTGAATACAAGTTGTTGCTGTGGCCTTGACATTTTTACAAAAGCAACTACTCCCATCAAGAACGGCCTTTAAAGTGGGACAATGTCACAAGGCATGGGTGTAATCAGACAGAAGTTGATACTGAGACATAGAATGAAGCACTGGAATCAGTGACTAAGACCTTGATCAAACAGTTAGATTTTAAGAGGTACCTTAAAAGACAAGAATGAGGTAAAAAGGTGGATAGATGTAAGGAGGAAATCTAGAGTTTGGGCCCAACTGAAGACAAGTTCACCATGGGGGAAGCAATTATGATTCAGAATGCACAAGATCATAGAACTGGAAGAGAGCAGGTACCTCAGAGGATTGTCAAGTTGGAGAAAATTACAGAGATAGTGAGAGTTAAAAGAATGAAAACAAGGATGACAATTTTCGAATCAAGATATTGGACTGGGAGACATTCTGGGTCAGTGAGCGCAAGGATGAGAGAGACATAGGAATAAGTGCAAGTTAAGACACAGTCAATGGAGTTTAGGATTACCTCAGACTTCTACAGTGGATAGAATGAGGAGACAAGCAAAGTGCATGTTGGAATAGTCAAGGAAAACAGTCTGATAATTTAGTAACAGCAGAGGAAATGAGAGCGGATAGACTATAAGATGCAGGAGCAGAATTGAGTCTGCTGTGCCATTTGATCATGGCTGATATGTTTCTCAACACCATTCTCTTGCCTTCTCCCCAAAAACTTTGATCCCCTTGCTAATCAAGAACCTCTCTTTCTCTGTCTTGAATGCATTCAATGACATAGCCTCCACAACCTTCTCATAGCATCCATACAGTGTGGAAGCAGGCCATTCAGCCCATCAACTCAGATCAACCCTTCAAAGAGTTTCCTACCCAGACCCACTACCCCCGATCCTATCCCTGTAACCCTGCATTTCCCATGGCCAATCTACCTAACCTGCACATCTTTGGACTGTGGGAGGAATCTGGAGCACCCGGAGGAAACCCACGCAGACACGGGGAGAATGTGCAAACTCCACACAGACAGTTGCCCGAGGGTGGAATTGAACCCGGGTCCCTGGCGCTGTGAGGCAGCTGTGCTAACCACTGAGCCACCATACCACCCTTCTGTGGCAATTAATTCCAAAGATTCACCACCCTGTGGCTGAAGAAATTCCTCCTCATCTCAGTTCTAAAAGATTGTCACTTCACTCTGAGGCTGTGCCCTCGGGTCCTAGTCTCTCCTACTAGTGGAAACATCTTTACAATGTTCACTCTATTAATGGACATAGATGAGGAGGAGGAGAGTCCAAAGGTAGACCCTTGAGGGAACAACAGAACTAACAGTATGGGAACAGGAAGAGAATACCATGCATGTGATTAAAAGCAAAATACTCATGGAATCCTTACAGTGTGGAAACAGGTCATTCAACCCAACAAGTCCACATTGCCCCTCCAAAGAGCATCACACCCAGACCCATTCCCCTACCCCTGCAATTCCCCATGTCTAACCCACCTCACCTAAAACATCCCTGAACACTATGGGCAATTTAGCATGACCAATCTACCTAGCCTACACATTTTTGGCCTGTGGGAGGAAACTGGAGCACCCAGAGGAAACCCACACAGACATGGGGAGAACGTGCAAACTCCACACAGACAGTCACCCAAGGCTGGAATTGAACTCGGGTCACTGGTGCTGTGAGGCAGCAGTGCTAACCACTGAGCCACCGTGCCACCCTTGGAATTGTGAAGAAGAGTCATACTGTACTCAAAATATATTCTCTGTTCCTCTCTCTCCAGATACTTCCAGATCAGCTGAGTTTCTCCAGATTCTCTGTGTTTTTTGCAAGTGATTATCTATCTACAATTAGATTGATGTGAATGCAACCAATGTCACCCACTAGACCACAATGGAGCAGGATGATATAGTCAACTGTGTCAAAGACTGGTGCCAATTCTAGAAGGACAAGGGGGCATAGATACTTTATGTTTGTCACAATCACATGGAATGGCATTTCGGTGTGAATATAAGCATGAATGGCGAACAGGACCTAGTATGAGTTAAAGTATGGTACAGCAGAGGTTGTGATGGAGTTAAGCAAAGTGAAGCAGTGTTCCCTTCAAGCTGTGTTGCCAGGCAGCAAACTGAAAGTTTCCATTCAAACCTTTCTAAGCTATGTGCAAAAATATTTAACAATGTTGCACCCTTAACCTATAACCCATGAACTCAATAAAGATAACCAGAGGATATGTTCAGATTAAGATGGAAGGCCACCCAGCTGAGCTTTAAAATATTTAGGCAGAAACAAAGCTTTCATTTCCCTTCTGATGGAAGGTCATCAATGTGAAACATACATAAAATCTGTTTCTTCTCCACAGATGCTGCCAGACCTGCTGAGTTTTTTCAACACTTCCTGTTTTATTTCAGATCTCAGTTTCTGGAGTATTTTACTTGAGTATGGGAGTAGTTAAGTTTGGAGGCGTCAGATATTTAAAGAAAGTTAGACACTTCTGAAAATGAATAAAATTTGCAGCTGGATCACAAGTTACACCCAAAGTGGAGATTTCACCGATGGGCAAGATGTATATGGGAAATAGGATGGGAACTTACTCTTTTAAATAAAGGTCATTCTGGTGCACCAGATATAAGAGGAAATTGCCTGCATGGTTTATAGTGCCGGGCCCGTTTAGAGATTACAATATCCCACAGTGTCGTATGTGCTACAGTCCATATCAACGTCCACTGGATGGGATAATTTTGCAAGTTATATAACCCTTTCTGGAGACAGGCACAAGGACAAACAATTGCCAACTATATCCCATTTTGAGATCGCGCCCTGTACCATTTTGATTCATGATGTGCAAAATTATGGAGGATGCTTCCAGCATTTATAAAAAGAACATTCTGGGGTAATTTTACAAAATAAGACTCTTGGTCTAGAGCATATTGGTTCCATATTGGGAACATGGGCATTCTGCTAAATGGGCATTCACAATGAGACTCTGTTCCAGGCGCAACTCATTAAATTGCCTCACCTTCACTCCTCAACAGGTGTCATAAATTGGGTTTAATAAAACATTCCTCTTGTACACACAAAATCTCTCTACCTGAACTTACCGTTCACATCACTTTGACCTGGAGTTACATTCTGCAGACCCAAATATCGAGCCCTTTCTCTCGAGGAGGTGAGAATTTCTGATTGAGGGATATCATCTGTTCTATTGCACAAGAAAGAAAGCTTCTGTTAACTTGGACCCTGACACAGTGAGCACGTGATCAGGACATATCAGGGACCATCCAATGGTGACATGTTGCATCTCCTGAAAGACCGAACAGCGTTCAAACTTCTGTTCATCATGGCAAAGAACAAAGAAGAAAGAAAATTACAGCACAGGATCAGGCCCTTCGGCCCTCCAAGCGTGCACTGACATGCTGCCCATCACAACTAAAACCCTCTACCCTTCCGGGGACCGTATCCCTCTATTCCCATCCTATTCACGTATTTGTCAAGACGACCTTTAAAAGCCACTATCGTATCTGCTTCCACTACCTTCCCCGGCAGCGAGTTCCAGGCACCCACCACCATCTGTGTGAAAAACCTGCCTCGTACAACACCTTTAAACCTTGCCACTCGTGCCTTAAACCTATGCCCCCCAGTAACTGACTCTTCCACCCTGACTGTCCACTCTCTCCATGACCTTCATAATCTTGTAGACCTCTATCAGTTCCCCCCTCAATCTCCATCGTTCCAGTGAGAACAACCCAAGTTTCTCCAACCTCTCCTCATAGCTAATGCCCTCCATACCTGGCAACATCCTGGTAAAACTCTTCTGTACCCTCTCCAAAGCCACCACATCCTTCTGGTAGTGTGGTGACCAGAATTGAAAACAATATTCCAAATGCGGCCTAACTCAGGTTCTATAAGGCTGTAACATTGCCTGTCAATTTTTAAACTCAATGCCCTGGCCAGTGAAGACAAACATGCCATATGCCTTGTTGACTACCTTCTCCACCTGCGTTGCCACTTTCAGTGACATGTGTAACTGTACACCCAGATCCCTCTGACTATCACTACTCTTAAGGGTTCTGCTATTTACTGTGTATTTTCTATCTGGATTAGACCCTCCAAAATGCATTACCTCGCATTTTTCTGCATTAAACTCCATCTGCCATTTCTCTGCCCAAGTCACCAACTGATCTATATCCAGCTGTATCCTTTGACGGTCCTCATCACTATCTGCAATTCCACCAACCTTTGTGTCATCGGCAAATTTACTAATCAGACCAGTTACATTCTCCTCCAAATCATTTATATATATTACAAACAGCAAAGGTCCCAACACTGATCCCTGTGGAACACCACTAGTCAGAGCCCTTCATTCAGAAACACACCCTTCCACTGCTACCCTCTGTCTTCTATGGCCGAGCCAGTTTTTTATCCATCTTGCAAGCTCACCTCTGACCCCATGCGACTTCACCTTCTGTATCAGCCTGCCATGAGGGACCTTGTCAAAGACCTTATTGAAGTCCATGTAGACAACATCCACTGCCCTACCCTCATCGATCATTTTCCTCACTTTCTCAAAAAACTCAATCAAGTTTGTGAGATATGATCTCCCCTTCACAAAACCATGCTACCTTTCGCTAATACGCCCACTTATTTCCAAGTGGGAGTAAATCCTGTCTGAAAGAATCCTCTCCAATAATTTCCTTACCACTGACGTAAGGCTTTCTGGCCTGTAATTAGCTGGATTATCCTTGCCACCCTTCTTAAACAAAGGAACAACATTAGCTATTCGCCAATCCTCTGGGACCTCCCTGTAGCCAGTGAAGATACAAAGATTTCTCTCAAGGCACCAGCAACTTCCTCCTTTGCCTCTCTCAGTATTCTGGGGTATATCCCATCAGGCCCTGGGGACTTGTCTACCTTAATGTTTTTCAAGACACCCAATACCTCCTCCCTTTTGATCTCAACATGACCCAAACTATCTACCCACCCTTCCCCAGACTCATCATCCACCAAGTCCTTCTCTATGGTGAATACAGACGCAAAGTAATCATTTAATACCTCACCCAGTTCCTCTGGCCCCACACATAAATTCCCTTCCCTGTCCTTGAATGGGCCAACCCTCTGCCTGGCTACATTCTTACTCTTTATATATGTATAAAAAGCCTTGGGATTTTCCTTAATCCTAATGGCCAATGACTTTTCATGACCCCTTTTAGCCCTCCTGGCTACTTGCTTAAGTTTCTTTCGACTTTTCTTGTATTCCACCCTTGCTTCGTGTGTTCCCAGCCTCCTAGCCTTGACAAATGCTTCCTTCTTCTTTTTCACTAGGTTCACAATATCTCTTGTTATCCAAGGTTCCCTAAACTTGCCATATTTATCCTTCATCCTTACAGGAACATGCCGGTCCTGAGTTCCCAGCAACTTACATTTGAAAGCCTCCCACATACCAAATATTGATTTGCCTTCAAACACCTGCCTCCAATCTACATTCTTCAGTTCCTGCCTAATATTGTTGTAATTAGCCTGCCCCAAATTTAGCACCTTCATCTGACAACTACATCTATCTTTATCCATCAGTACCTTAAAGCTTACTGAATTGTGATCACTGTTCCAGAAACTGCTCCCCTACTGAGATGTCGACCACCTGGCCAGGCTCATTCCCCAATACTAGGTCCAGTACAGCCCCTTTCCTAGTTGGACTATCTACATACTGTGTTAACAAGCCCTCCTGGATGCTCCTTACAAACTCTGCCCCATCTGCACCCCAAGCACCAAGTGAGTCCCAGTCAATATACGGGAAGTTAGAATCACCCACAACAACAATCAGCAATCTGTATAAATTCCTAATGCCTTACCTACAAATTCCTACAGTGAGTTTAGTGGGTTGGCCATGCTAAATTGCCCATTGTGTCAAGGTGGATTAGCCATGGGGAGAGGTTATGGGTACGGGTGGGGATGTCTTCAGATGTGGACTCAATCGGCTGAATGACCTGTTTCCACACTGTAGGAATTCTAAGATTCTAAGACTCTACAGCTTCTCAAGATGTGGATGGACCCTCGTGAGGGTGGGAGAGGCCAAAGAGATACATGTAAGTCCAGCCTCATTATCCCTCATTTGAGGGTCTAGTGATATTTTTAGGTCATTATTGCGGCATTGCCCTGACTGTCATTGCAAGAAGCTTTTCAAAATGTCTTTGTGTCTTCCCAAATCCCAACCCCTCACCATCTGCCACCCTCACCCCTCTTTCCTGCCACCCTAACTTCTCACCCACTGGCTGCCAAACACTTCTCCCTTCCCACCATCAATCTTACCCCTCACCCACCTGCTACCTTAACAACTTCTCTCCCTGCCACTCTTACCCTCACCTACTTGACACCCTTATCCCCCTGTCCCACTCACCAACCAAACCCCTCACCTATTGCCAGCCAAGCCCTTCTCCCTGCCACCTTATCCCTCTCCCAACTGCCACCTTAACCCCACTTGAACCTCACATATTTTTCTTGTTAGATGCCAACGAGGGCATTAACCTACAGAATACAGCTGCAACAAGGGGTTGTGATTTCCACACTGACTCTCCCTGTTTTGCTGGCTGTGATATTGCCTGGAGGGGTCTCTGCTCCTCACAACAGGAGGCACTTGTTCTTTATTCATTCACAGGATGAGGGCATCACTGGCTAGGCAGCATTTATCACCCATCCCTAATTACCCAGAGGGCAGTTAAGAGTCATCCACACTGCTGTCAGTCTGGAGTCACATGTAGGCCAGACCAGGTAAGGATGACAGTTTCCTTCCCTAAAGTACATTAGTGAACCAGATGGGTTTTTTTCCCAACAATTGGCTTATGGTCATCATTAGACTCTTAATTCCAGATATCTGTTGAATTCAACTTTCACCATCTGCTATGGCAGGATTCAAACCTGGGTCCACAGAATGTTATCTGGGTGTGTGGATTAACAGTCCAGCAATAATACCACTAGGCCATCATCTCCCCCAGTGCAGAACTAATCAAAAGATAAGTGTGTTCTGTTTCACTCCAACTACGTTTGGAAATTGGGCTTCCAACCATGATTGGCATTTCTCAGTTACTATCTCCTAAAATGACTCAATGTCATAGTTTACTCAAACAAAGAAGTGCGGATGCTGAAGATCTGAAACAAAAATAGGAATTGCCTGAGAAACTCAACATGTCTGGCAGTATCTCTGGAGAGAGAAACAGAGTTAATGTTTTGAGTCCAGTGACCCTTCCTCTGAATTCCGGTTCTGATGTAGGGTCACTGGACCCAAAACATTAATTCTGTTTACCCTCCACAGATGCTACCAGACCTGCTGAATCTCCCCAGCGATTTCTGTTTTTGTTTCAGCATCATATTTTGTTTTGTAGCCCTCCCATGAAACGAATTGAAATGTTCTCTTTTGGTAAAAGCACTATACAGATGCAGGTTGTTCTTTTTAATGCCTGGAACTCAACTGAAACACTCACACCACACTAACATCAATCTACTGAGTCGGTCCCACACTCCTCAAAGCATCAACTGTTCAGCACTTCTCCGCACAATGGCAGAATTTCATTCGGATGGTCAGCATCCACAGTTCTTTGTTTTGTTACAATGAGAGAATCCTCTATTGATTTGCATTCTACCCATCTGTTAATACAAGGCAATAATTTAAAAATCTCTCCTTCAAACTGTTGCTGATCACCAGCCTGATGGGTCCACAGGGCTTATTGGATGGTCACAGAATCATAGAATCATAGAATCCCTACAGTGTGGAAACAGGCCCTTCGGCCCAACAAGTCCACACAGAACCTCAGAAGCATCCCACCCAGACCCATCCCCCTATAACCCACCTAATCTAAAATAATGTGCGCTCATGTTGTTCACTTAGCATCATCACTTGTACATGAAGAGACAAACGTATGTCTTTCATAAATTATAGTAGTTGGAAGGTCATGTTGTGGCTGTATAGGAAATTGGTTAGTCTATTTTTGGAATACTGTGTTTAATTCCGGTGTGCCTGCTATAGGAAAGATGTTGTGAAACTTGAAAGAGTTCAAAAAAGATTTACAAGGATGTTGCCGGGCTTGGAGGGTTTGAACTACAGGAAGAGGCTTGAATAGACTGGGGCTATTTTCCTGGAGCGTCAAAATCTGATGGGTGACCTTAATATTGATAGGGTGAATAGTCAAGGCTTTTTTTCCCTACGGTAGGGGAGACAAAAACTAGAGGGCAAAAGTTTGAGGTGAGAGCGGAAAGATTTAAAAGGGAACTAAGGGGTAACTTTTTCACGCAGAGGGTGGTGTGTGTATGGAATGAGCTGCCAGAGGAAGTGGCAGAGGCCAGTACAATTACAACATTTAAAAGGCATCTGGGTAGGTACATTGAATAGGAAGGGTTTAGAGAGATATGGGCCAAATGCTGGCAAATGGGACCAGAGGGACAGCATGGTGGCTCAGTGGTTAGCACTACTGTCTCACAGCACCAGGGACCTGGGTTCAATTCCACCCTTGGGTGACTGTGTGAAGTTTGCACATTCTCCCCGTGTCTGCATGAGTTATCTCTGGGTGCTCCAGTTTCCTCCCACAGTCCAAAGATGCATAGGCTAGGTGGATTGGCCATGCTAAATTGCCCTGTAGTGGTCAGGAATGTGCAGATTAGGTGGATGGCTCTGGGTGGAATGCTCTGAGAGTCAGTGTGGGCTTGTTGGCCTGAAGGGCCTGTTTCCACACTGCAGGGATCCAATGATTAATTTAGGATATCTGGCCAGCATGGACGAGTTGGACTGAAGGGCCTGTTTCTGTGCTGCATATCTCTGTGATTCTATGACTCCACTGACATCAAATATGAAATCAGTGTTCCTTAACTTAACCAAACTACACAGTTTCTGTCAAACATTCTCTTACAGCTGATCTATATTCCAAATTGTTATAGGTTCATTATTCCTTTCTTGCAACATAATCTGCTCTACGTTCATTTCAAAGTATCCATGAAACATTTATCCCTGTGAAACGAGCTGCCCTAGAATAGAATACAAACACTGTGCATTTGATGGTTCACACACTAAATGGAGGCTGAAAAACAATATCTGTGATTGCTCCCAGAACCAGTATCAAACTGTGCAATCAAACACAAGATTCCACACTTCATTTCCAGCATGGAAAGGTGGAAGAACTGAGGTCATTTGTCTTCCTCCAGCCCCATAGATGACAAAACATGTGTCAGAAAATAATAAATTGGCTAACAGCTTCCAGATAAATGAGTTGGTGATAACTGCATGTTATCTACAATATCCTGCTCTTTGTTCAAATTGGTTTGCTTTTACCACACATCATAGCAAATAGGAATTCAAATTCAGGCATTATTTAGAAGCAGTCTCTATTCACCAATGCAATGATTTTTGCCTCTCAGAGTGACATTAGCACCTTATATTTTATACTAGACCACAGCTATTCAATGTATCACTTTCATTGCCTAAGCTTAGTGAGTGATTCACAGTCTCACACCTAAAATTATAGAATCCCTATGGTGCAGAAATAGACCATTCGGCCCATCAAGTCTCACCAACCCTCCAAAGAGCATTCCACACAAGCCCACACACTCAGCCCCATGTCCCACATGGGGTTTATATCATGGCTAACCCACTTAACCCACACATCCCTAGACACCACAGGGCAATCCACTTAACCTGTACATTTTTGGACTATGGGAGGAGCACTTGGAGGAAACCACACAGACACAGGGAAAACATGCAAACTCCACACAGACAATCCCCCAAGGCTGGGATCTGACCTGGGTCCCTGGTGCTGTGAGGCAGCAGTGCTAACCACTGAGCCACTGTGCCACCCTCACCTCTGTGTGGTTGCTGAGCAAGCTAAGCACATTTGCCAGAAAAGCAATCCCCAGTGTGGCTGTACAGGGACAAACCTACCTCTCCAAAAATATCAAATAAAAAATGAAAAAACTGCGGATGCAGTGACCCTACTTCAGAACTAACCCAAAACAGAACCAGACCCGAAATGTTAACTCTGATTTTTTCTTCACAGATGCTGCTAGACCTGTTGAGCTTTTCCAGCAACTTCTGTTTTTGTCTACAAAAATAAACCTACCTCTATAAGGACTAACCTACCTCCACATGGATTAACCTACCTCCACATGTAATTGGTGCCTCCTGAGGTAGCCATGGTATCTGTCAGGTTGTCACAGGACTTGCTCATTGCTCCAACAGACGTGGTGTCCAGGTTAGGGCGACTCAACATGGTCTCTGAACGGGAAATATTGCGCATCTCCTCGAAACGTCTGCGCCGTGCATATCGTGTCTCATTTGAAACCATAGAGGTAAAAACGTGTTCCTCTGTGGGGAAACAAAACGGTATACAATTCAACAATAACATCAAATGCTGACTGGTCTCCAAGATAAAAAGACAGTAGCTGCTCCTCAACACACAGTTGGGCAGCATCAACTCATTACAAACTAGTCTTGAAGATTTTATCTTATTCTTTCTTGGGATGTGGACATTGTGCTGAGTAGCTTGTTTGGCCAGAGGGAAGCTACGAGTCAACTATATTGCTGGGGCCTGGAGTCACGCGGAGGTTGGGCTAGGTAAAGATGGTAGATTCCCTTCCCTAAAGGACATTGATGTGTTTTAACAGCAACTGATGATTGTCATCATATTCATCATTATTGAGATATACCTTATGTTCCAGTTAACTTATTTAAGCCCCACCAGCTGCCATGATGAAATTTGAACCCACATCCCCTAAGCATTAGCCCAGACCGCTGAACGACTAATCCATGGCATTACCAACACTCCACTGTTGCCCCCTATAGAATCAATATCAAGCAAATGTCAGTAATAGCGGAAATAGGGGAAAGGGTATGGAATGGGGCTGCATAAATTCCTCATGCAAAAAAAAGTAACATTTTGACAGGCTGAATGGCCTCCTTCTGTGCTGTAATCATTCTACGAGTTTGCAACACAGTTTTGAACTAAAATTTCAGACAGTCAGGTCTTCTTAGCTGCTGAAATAAAGCTGCAAACCAGGACATGAACTGCACCCCGAATAAAAGTGGTGAGAATTCACATGGATAGTCGTTGGCTAATGGAGCAGAGAGTGAGCATAAGTGGGCATTTTTCAGGTTGGCAACTTGTCACAAGAGATGTGCCCAGGGATTGGTGCTGGGACCTCAAAAGTTTACAATTTATATAAACGATTTAGATGAAGGGACGGAAGGTATGGTGGCAAAAATTGCTGGTGGCACAAAGATAGATAGGAAAGTGAGGCATGCAGAGGACTTAAGGAGTACACAAAAAGATACAGATTAAGTCAAGTGAGTGGGCAAAGACCTGGCAAATGGACCATCATGTATCAAAATGCAAAACTATCTATTTGCCAGGAAGAATAAAAACGAAACCTCTAATCAAACAGTGAGAGATTGAAGAAGTCTGAGATCCGGAGGGATCTGAGTGTCCCAGTGCATGTATTGCAAAATAGTTAATGTGCAGGTGCAGTAAGTAATTAGGAAAACTGACAGAATGTTATTATTTATCACAAAGAGAATTGAGTACAGAAGTACGGAGGTTATGCTTCAATTGTACAAGGCACCAGCAAAACCATGTGTGGAGTAGTGTTGGCCACATATTTAAGGAAAGGTATAAATGCTTTGGAGACAGTTCAGAGCAGGTTTACTGGAATAGTAGCTCAAAAGAGCGGGTTGTCTTGAGGAAAGGTTGGATGGATTGGGCTTGTAGCCGCTGGAGATTAGAAGAGTAAGAGGCGATCTGTACGGAAACATTTAAAATCCTGAGGGTCCTTGACAGGGTGGATGTGGAGCAAACGTTTCCTCTTGTGGGAGAATCAAGAAGTATGGACCACGATTTAAAAATAAGGGATCGCCCATCTTAAAACAGAATAGGCAATTTATTTTCTCTCAGAGGACCGTAGGTCCCATGCATAGACTCTATCTACACATCTCATTGCCACGGAAAGGCTGCCAACATCATCAAAGACCCCTCCCATCGCAGTAATACTCTCTTCCAACCTCTTCCATCGGGCAGAAGGTACAGAAGCTTAAACACACGCACCAACTGGTTGAAGAACAGCTTTTTCCCCAATGTTATTAGACTGTTTAATGAACCTCTTGAATTTCAAAGCTAATGTAGATCTTACTTTGTACACCTCCTGCCCTGACATAACCTTGTACGCCTCGCTCTGTCTAAGCACCCTATGATCTGTATGTCCTTTATGCTATGATCTGCCTGTACTGCTCACAAAACAAATCTTTTCACTGCACTTAGGTACAAGTGACAACAATAAATTAAATTAAATCTTTGGAACTCTAGTCCGGAAGCACAGTCTTTAAGTATTTGTAAGGCCCAAGCAGATAGAATCCTGGTAAGCAAGAAGCGAAAGTATAAGCAGGCATGTGGATTCCAGGTCACAATCAGATCAGCTGTGATTGTATGAAATAGCAGAGTGGAATCAAGGGGCTGAATGGCCTACTTCTGCTTCTTGTTCATATGTAATTGCTTCGATGGAGGATGTGATTACCAAGCTGGGAAGGAGTTTCGATGTGGTTGCCTGGAAGTGAAGGTGCTGGAGCTTAACTACCCAATTTCCTGTAAAGGTTCAGCCTACAGTGTCAAACTGATTCAGTCACAAGGTAATTTTTTATATCTACATGGGGGTCTGATGACATTCCTAAGATCTAATGATCATTTTAGCATGGAAGGAGGTGTGGGAGTGTGCTGGATGGGACTAGTAGCTGCTTTCTTTCTCTGCTGGCCCAGGATAAAAGTCACAGAGCAACAATGGTAGTCTAAAGATGTATTTATGAGTGATCAGATGCTCCAAAGAGAAGCAGTGGAAAATTAATTAAAAGAAACAGAAGCGTTGAGTTACAAATTTCTCCTAAGGTTCAGCTTTTCTCCTCATTCAAAGCAATGGATCATTTCTGCCTTGGATTTATGGGGTTTTCAGAATAAAGATAATCTGCTATGATGAAACATTACCATCTCCTTTTTAGCAGATACAGATTGTCATCCTGTACTTACCATTTTCAAAGGCAGTTTGATTAAGCTGCCTGGAATTCATCTGCATCTGGAACTTGTGCTGAGCAGAGCATAGCTCGATCAGGTACTTGCAAGTTTTGCTGTTTTCTGTGATAAAGGTGTGCTTCTTTCCATCTGAATTGCTTTGCACAGTAAACTTCTTTCTCTAAAGAGAAACACTGATCAGATCGCTTTATTCCTTTTAATACCAAATCACTCAGCAGCAGGTCAATAACTTTAATGTAAGCTCTGAATTGTGGCTAGTATGCGCCATTATGTAAACTGGTGTCATCTACGGCCCATCACATGTTGGTCTACTTTAGACCATGCAGATGCTTGGAGGTAAGAGGACAAGAACCAAGACCAATGCCAAAGGCACTGAGTGTAACTGCTACGCTATATCAGAGCTGTGCATTGAAAGTTCCCTATTCAATTGAACATCCACCCTATATCCACACTCTCAGCTTGGCAGATTACCACACCAGATGCCTCTGTGAGTTAGACCAATTTTTCATTGTTTTCTTTCTCTGACTACCCAAAATGCAATGAATAAATAATTATTTGTAGACAATTTACTTTTAGTGAATACCACTGCGTTACAAATCTACATAACATGTTTAGGACACGGGTTATAATCTCACACCTGACACTTGCACAGTAAAGACAAATGAGGGATCGTGCCTATAGAACAAGTTCTTATCTATATCTGGAAAGGGGAATAGTGAGCTTTGGAAAATATACACTTCGATAAAGCTTCAACAGATAGAATACAGTCGACTCATTTCAGGTAAGGTGATAGTTGAAGTATTATGTATTCCAGAAGAACAGAGTTAGAAATAGGGTTTACTGAAGACCCCCTCTAGGGTATAGTACAACAAGGCATCTGGATAAGTACACGAATAGGAAAGGATTGGAGGAATATGGGCCAAGTGGCACAATTATAGCCTAGGATAATGTTTAGTATGGACTGGTCAGACTGAAGGGTCTATTTCTGTGCTGTACAAATCTATGACTACTTTCCAGAGAGTTTAACCTGCCTTGAGTGAGGGATAAGATTGAGAAGAACCCTCATAGTGACCTCAGCTATTGTAGGAACTGAACCTGCATTAGTGGTATCACACCGTATTGCAGACCAGCTATCTAGCCAACTGAACTAACCAACCTCCTCACCTTGCTGTCATACAACAAAGACTCTGCTAAAGGCTGGAATCAGAGCAGCTCAGGAGACAGATGCCTGTTACTAAATCATCATGTATATATTTCCAATAAACACTGTTCGAATACCTTGCAATTTGGCCCCAGCTAATCAGGGAACAGATTAATTCGTACAAAAACACAGAGGATTAATAAAGTTAAGCCAGAGTTTGTAATCAGTATCAGGTATTCACACTGGAAAATACTGCCTGTCTGGCATGGGTTGAGGTACAATCAAACTTGGCATCTGACAGTCAAACAAGGTGTTATTATCCAGTGTCTATACATGAAGCTGACCATCTGGGCATTGTGTTGGTGCCACCTGGAGAACAAAGAATGCCACATAAGCCAAGACCCACAAGAGAAGGAAAGGAAAAAGCTGCGGAAAAGATTTTGTTTCACTGTCTGTAGGATGTGATGAGGTATTACTTACATTAAACGTGATTCTTTCAGTTTCACGCCACTGGAAGCGTAAGCTGGCGATTCTGCTGTTATTCTTCACCTCGTAAACGATGATCCCTTTGGCACAGATTCCGAGCACAACCTCCCCACCTGTGGTTTTCTTATCCCGTGCCACCCGATGGAACAGTACCCCATACTCTTGAAGCTGCTGTGTTACCTACAATGTGTTGTCAAAGTGCTAATAAATATTTCCCACTGGAAAAGGACTTGCATTGATATAGCATCTTACCTAACCCACTTTACAGTCAAAAGGGTTGTTTTGAAGTATAGGCCCTGCTGTAAGGTAGGAAGGACAGAAACAGCAATGACAATGATCAAATAATCTGTTTTTGTAATGTTGACCCAAGAATTAGTCATGACCAGGACAGTAGAGAGGGCCTAGTGGTATTATCACTGGACTATTCATCCACAGACTCAGGTAATATTCTGGGGCTTGAATCTTACCACGGCAGGTGGTGGCATTCTAATGCAAAAAGATACCTGGAATTAATTTTCCCTAACATCAGTTGTGATGCTAGATAACTCTTAACTGCCCTCTGGGTGGTTAGGGATGAGCAATCAATGTTGGCCTAGCCAGCAACACCCACATCCCATGAATGAATAGAAAAAACTCTCTGCTCTTCTTCAAAGTAATTATAAGACTATAAAATATAGGAGCAGAATTAGGCTGTTCAGCCCATTGAGTCTGCTCTACCATTCGATCATGGCTGATATGTTTCTCAACCCCATTCTCCTACCTTCTCCCCGTAACCCTTGATCCCCTTACTAATTAAGAACCTATCTATCTCTGTCATAAAAAGACTCAATAACCTGGTCTCCACAGTCCTCTGTGGTAATAAGTTCCACAGATTCACTACCCTCTGGTCAGAAATTCCTCCTCATCTCAGTTCTAAAGGGTTGCCCCTTCACTCTGTCACTGTGCCCTCGAATCCTGGTCACTGCTACTGGTGGAATCATCTTCTCCATGTCCACTCTGTCCAGGCCTCTGAGTATTCTGTAAGTTTCAATTCTTCTAAACTCCATCGAGTACAGGCCCACAATCCTCAACTGCTCCTCATATATCAAGCCCTTCATACCCGGGATCACTCGTAAACCTCCTCTGGGCCCCCTCCAAAGCCTATACATCTTTCCTAAGCTACAGGGTCCAAAACTGCTCATAGTATTCTAGATGTGGTCTGACCAGAACCTTATACAGCCTCAGTAGTACATCCCTGCTCTTGTATTGCACCTTTCTTGAAAGGAATGCCAACATTGTATGTGCTTTCCTAACGGCCAACTGAACCTAAAGAGAAAATGACCTAGGATTCCTAAGACCTTTTGGAGTTCAGATTTCCAAAGCATTTCCCTGTGGGATCTTTCACACCCATTTGAGGGGGAAACACAGTCTCTGCTTAATATCTCACCCGAGTTACAGCAGGAGTTCTGCACTGGAGAGTCAACTTTGATTGTTTTGTCTCAACTCCTGGAGTGGGGTTTGAACCCACAATCCTCTGAACAAAAATATGATTTAACAAGAATATTAACCTAAATTTTGGTGGGACTCATCAAAAAATGATGTCAACCAGGCCGTTGTAAGAACTACTCTGAAAAATGAACCACTTGGAATCCTGTAGCACGGTGGCACTGTGGTTCAGTGGTTAGCACTGCTGCCTCACAGCGCCAGGGACTCAGGTTTGATTCCACCCTTGGGTGACTGTCTGTGTGGAGTTTACACATTCTCCCCGTGTCTGCGTGGGTTTCCTCCGAGTGCTCCGGTTTCCTCCCATAGTCCAAAGATGTGCAGGTTAGGTGGATTGGCCATGCTAAATTCCCCCATAGTGTCCAGGGATTTGTAAAATAGGTGGATTAGCCGTGGGAACTGCGGGGCTACAGGGATTGAGTGGGTTTGGGTGGAATGCTCTGTGGACTCAATGGGCTGAATGGCCTGACCCCATACTTGTAGGGATTCTATGTCAATTCTTCTATGTGTTTGGAAACCCAAGACTAGGCTCAATTGAGGGAAGTTGACATTGCAGAATCCACTAGTTACAACCATTGTTTTTTTGGTTGGATTAATGCTTCCTTTAAATAAGCACAGAGGGGAATGTTACAGAAACTCATTAAGAATTCATCCATTATTGTCACTACAGAAACATGAAATCCCTAATCAACGAGTCTCCACTGTACCTTCAGAAACTCCAACTCAGCCTCCTCTTCAGACAAATTAAAGTATGTGGAGTGGAGTCGAGGCAGTTCCTCCTTTATACAAGTCAAAGCCATTTTCTCCATCACACTAGGAGGAATGTAGTGTTCAACACGGTAGTAGTTCTTGCCATGCACCTTTATAAACAGAACATACTTTCTGTTATCAGCCCATGTACTGTGTGTTCAATCAAAGTGACCACCTTATTCGCTCTCATTCTTGTAAGTGCTCCAATCTGCCATAGTTTACTTGCCTGTCCATGATAGAAAGGAAGAGAACCCCTCTGGGTATTACAGACCTTTCGCATCCTTGACTCCAATCATCATGGGTTCATTCTAGGAGTCGGAATGTTGACCCAAACTTGTGATCAAACTGGTCCTTTGCCCACCGTACATTATTCCTTGACAGTGAAATCCTGGTTTAGTAGTGTTGTTGGAGGAGGTGGGGGGGCAGGTGGGGATGGGGAGTTCTGATATCCCTACTTCAATTATCCAGCTGCTTCTCATGAGCTAGACACCCCCTGCTTGTGGCAAACAGGCAAAACCAGGCTGTGATACACTGCATGAAGCAGCAAGCTGCTGACACTCTGGGTTTGATTTTAACTCTGTAAGTGGATGAATATTTAATGAATTGAAATCGGGCTCTAATATTGGTCTAGACTCATGTTATTAAAATGGAGTCCTTAGTATGGCACATAACGTAATCATAGACTTTGTGGTAAGTGCCATTTTCAGAATACCATAAATTATAATCTGAGCCAATTTTTGCAAGTCCAATACAATCGATATAAAATACAGGGTTGCAAATGGGTTTTGTTCTTCAGCCCATCCACAAATCCATTTGCAAGTTGCAACACAATGCAAGATAATATAAAGGAGCCATTCATAAGGACAGGAAATGTTTCTATGTCAGCTCTTTAATATTACACACCTGGATAAGATTGTGTTTGTCAGTACAAGCATTTGTAGGTCAGATGTTTGTAAAATGTAGACTGTCTGCATTCTAAGTGTAATCATGTAGACAATTGAAAAAAAAAACCACTGAGCAGCTTTAAGAAAACTTGTGGAAACTGAGAGCATTGATTAATCCAAATCATCCTGGGAAAATATTGTAATATTTTGTGATTAATACATCAGCTGTAATTCTTTAATGGTTTCTATGTGCCTCCAAATAATGGTTTTGTGCTGAGCCAAGTTTAAGCAGACATTAAATAGAATAATCAGGGTTTACAAAAACTGTTTTCTTCCCATGAGCTCTTATTACTGGTATTAGGCTTAAAAACACAACAGCACTTTATTTTTAATGGCATAGGATAAAATGGCACCACAAAGTGAACAGTTTGCCACTGTAATTTTATACTTCAGCAGATTAATAATTATTCCGTGAGTGGTGGAGGTAACGCAAGAAAATAAGAGAATGTCAACTTTGAATATAAAAGAAAATAAAACCCACTCACCAGGGTGAATTTTAATAATACACATGAAGTAATTCAAGGATGAGATTAAAAGAAAACAGGCTATTTCTTAAAGTAGCTGAGCTATTGGTCTTGTAAATACAGGAAGATGTGAGTCACTCAGTGGAATATGGTGCTGAAATAATGTTATAGATTTGGCTCTTTTATCATCTATACAGGACGATGGGGTCAGGAGATGGCCATTCAGCCCATTCAGCCTGTTCCACCATTCAATGAGATCATGGTGAGCTACAGCCTAATTCCTTATTTAATACTTCCACAGCACAGCAGCACCAGTGGCAAGGCTATCACCTGTTTCCCAGTGTACTGATTAGAACCAGGGCTAAGGTCAATCTCATTGACTGGAAGAAGGGGAGGAGTGAGGGGGACTGGGTTTTCTTGAATTGCTGCAGACCAATGAGGTTGGAAAGAGAATGCCAGGACTCTATAACAATGAAGGAGCAGGAATATTTGTTGAAGGCAGGATGAGGAACCCTGGAGGTGTTCCCATGCACTTTCTGAATTAGCCTTTTGTCAAGGGTGTGTTCATGGGATGTTACTATATTGGAACAGTTACTGTTTAGTAGCTAATTAATCTATTACTCTGTTAAATTTTCCAGTAGAGTTACAGCAAAGCCAATTCTTTTCTGTATTCTTTCCTTTGTTTTATTTTAATTAGAGTGTATGAATAAAGGGATAACACAGTGTGGAGCTGGAGGAACACAGCAGGCTAGGCAGCATCAGAGGAGCAGGAAAGCTGATGTTTCGGGTTGGGACCCTTCTTCAGAAATGGGGAAATTTCTGAAGAAGGGTCCCGAACCGAAAAGTCAACTTTCCTGCTCCTCTGATGCTGCCTGGCCTGCTGTGTTCCTCCAGCTCCACACTGTGTTATCCCTGACTCCAGCATCGACAGTTCTTGCTATCTCCGAGTGTATGAATAAAGTGTGTTTTGCTTAACATCGAGTAGTTTGACCAATCGAATTCCATTTGGAATGCAACACCTTACATTTACCTTTAAAATAAGAAGATGCTAGGGTCTAGGCTACCTTCTTAATATATTTTGAGAGGGTTTGGTCTGGTCCATAACAGTTTGAAGTGTTGCATGTAGTACAATTTGGAAAAGAACAATGTGGCTCATGAATGAGCATGTACCCACCTCGGAAATGTAATCTCCGTACTCTACCTGGAGAGCCAGGGAGGCAAGCAACAGAGCTGTCTCATCACTACAGTACAAACGCTCCTCAAGAATGTCTTTCCTCAGTTGTAGGTAATACTGATGTCGGGTGAGGCTGTGCCTAAAAGATAAATGGACATTAATGAAGCCTTATATTGTCTATACACTATGGGCTGCGTTGAGCAGATGAGTTTGCAGCTGGGTAATTTCTACCTTGTCTTCACCTGTGAAGGTTCAGACCTGGCTGAAATGGTAGCACTCACACCAAGTCTGAAGGTTTTGGATTCAAATCCCTGATCCAGAAACAGGTGTGAAGATATAGACAAGTGTCTCAATGCAATACCGAGGGACAGCTGCACTGTTGAATGTGCTGCCTTTCAGATGGGGTGCTAAATCATGGCCCAGTCTGTTGTCAACAATGGTTCTAAAAGATCCTGTGGCACCATTTCAGAGACGAACAAGAGGCATTTCCCCAGTCAGGTGACCAATATTTATCCCACAACTAAAGACATGGAAACAGAGGAGTGTGTTATTTATCTCGCCTGTTTTTCAGAACTTACTCTGTGTAAATAGGCTGCCATATTTCCTACAACAGTGACACCCAACTCCAAATGAAGACCTTCCCTGTGAACTACTGCGGGATGGTGTGAACAGCGCTATATAAATGTAACTTTGCTGTCTTTCTGGCGACCTCCTGGCCTGGTGACCTCCCGGCCTAGCACCTTCCAACCTGGCAACCTCCCAGCCCGGTGACTTCCCCCCTGGTGACTTCCCAGCCTAGCACCTTCCGGCCTGGTGACCTCCAGGCCTGGTGACCTCCCGGCCTGGTGACCTCCCGGCCTAGCACCTTCCGGCCTGGCAACCTCCCAGCCCGGTGACCTCCTGGCCTGACGTAGTAGCCTCCCGGCCTGGTGACCTCCCCGCCTGCTGTAGTGGCCTCCCAGGGTGGTCTCCTGGCATGGCAGGGCAGTCCCCTGGCATGATATCATCTCAGCCTGGCGTGGTGGTCTGGAGAAATCTCCCAGCCTAATGATCCTCAACGTGAAGCCTGGCACGGTCTGGATCCACGGCCCGCTGCAGACTGGAGGCTGGGTGCCAGTATGGTCTGGGTTGGAAGATTGCTGTTATGGACTTTTATGTCTGCACTGCTGGACATTTTATTTTTCTATTTTCTAAGATCTTGAATCTAAAGAAGGAATACCTAGGTACCTTTGTACCTAAGATGGAACTGTAAGTGGCGACATATAAACTTTTCACTGTACTAATTGAGTATATGTGACAATAAGCTAAATCAATTAATTCAGCTCAATTCATTTCCACTAGGATTTCACAGGATAGTGAACCCTGCTTGACATTATTGAACCCTCTGAAGTCCTGAGATACAGGGACTTCATCTGATGGTCATGATGGATGAAATCAGTCAACTGTGTTCTATCTGCTGAAGAGTCATTTATGTGGACACTGCATAAAAATTCAATGTCCCCTCACCCATGGAGCTGGCTTAGTGTTTGTGCAGTCAAACATGACAAAACAACCGTCAAAATAAAACACCAGACGCAAATAGTTAACATTATTCAGGAAGTGCCACTGGGCTTCAGCAACGTTCTATCTAAGTTGAGTGAGTGCACATCCACTCTGTGCACCGCGATTGGATATTACCACCACACTCGGACCTCTGAGGTCTGTGAGGAATAAAAGAAAATTGAGGGAATGCTGGCTTTTAGCTGGTCTGTTCACCTAAAGAAGAGGGGCTTTTTTGTTAATGGGCTGCCCAAAGGAAAATCACAATTAGTTTGTTCCTGAAGTTATTTTGTTTCAAAGCCCACGCCAGCCTTCCAGCAGAGTGCCTTATATTACAGTCGATTTGGAAGGTCTAACCATTTTGTAACCAATAAAAGAGAAGACTCACAGTGGTACACAAGGAACAACCAGCTTCACTGAAGCTGAATAAGAATGAGGTTCTCAACTGCTTTTCAGGTGAGATGTTCAACTATAGTCTGCCTCTTCAGTGAACACAGAAGAACCCATATGAGGAGGAAGTTCTTCTCTCAGAGGGTAGTGAATCTGTGAAATTCTTTATTGCAGAGGGCTGTTGAGGCTTGGCCTTTAAGTATACTCAAGGCTGTGATAGACAGGTTCCTGATCAGTGAGGGAACCATGGGTTATGGGGGAAAGGAAGGAAAGTGGAGGATTATCAAATCAGCCACAATCTCATTGTGTGACGGAAGAGACTTGAAGGGCTGAATGGCCTACTACTGCTTCTCTATCATACGATATTCTTAAAATAGAGTGGAATTCCCACAGAGTTACAGCCAAAATGTATCTCCAAATATGGTTACGTACGTGATCATTCATCATGTGTGGGACACTATCTGTCTAGACTATCCATGCCTTGTTTATCAACAAAACATCACAACAATGAAATTGCAGTGAATCAATATGTAACCAGGAGCTCCGGCTGTGGTGAAATTGGCAGCCATTCCCACCAGCAGGGTGGGATACCCAACAGAAGGAAGCCCATGATTAGCCAAAGTTCAGGACTGGTGACTCCAGATCAGCTGACCTTGCGGATACTTGCCATATGACCATGCCAACCAATTGTTGCTTGGATTAGAAAGTGGATGGAATGTAACAACACGAAGAAAGGAAGATATTTAAATAAAACGAAAACACTGAGGAAAATCTTCAACCTGATGACCCTGAAGAGGGCAATAAATGCTCCCCACAAAGAATTGTGGATGCTCGAAATCTAAAATACAAACAGAAATTGCTTGAATAAATTGTAATAAACACAGAAGAAGGGTCTCTGGAGCCCAAAAATGAAGCCTGCTTCTCTCACCACGGATGCTGCCTGATCTGCTGAGCTTCTCTAGCAATTTCTGTTTCGGTTCCACTCATACGCCTGCCTGTTTCCCTGGCTGAACACACAAATACCTCAGAAAACTACAGGGGATAGGTATAAGGTGAGAGGAGAAAGATTTCAAAAGGACCTGAGAAGTAACCTTCTCATGCAGAGGGTGGTGTGTGTATGGAACGAGCTGCCAGAGGGGAAGTGGTACAGATTGGAACAATTACAACATTTAAAAGGGATCTGGATGGGTATATGAATTGGAAGGGTTTAGAGGGATATGGGCCAAATGCTGGCAAACGGAAATAGATCAGATTGGGATATCTGGTCAGCAGGGACAAGTTGGTCTGAAGGGTCTGTTTCCGTGCTGTTTGACTCTATAACACTATGACTGAATGCTCTGGGATTTCACCCTGCAGCAGGAAAACATGGAAACCACATTTGACTGCATTGCTGTGTGATGATGCTGTCACTTTAAAAAGGTTATTTTGTCCTGGTTTATTTGAAGGGAGGTTGTAAAGGCAGAGGCACTGAAAAGTCTAAGGAGCTAGAAAGCTAAAACAGTTTAACAATGGAAGCGGAGTGGCCAGTTCTCCCAGTTCGGGATTTTCTAGTTTTTTTTTAGCTATGGCAGTCACAAGATCTTTTCAGTACCAGAAGGGTTGCAAGCTTCAGTAAAGGATTCCTAACTGACTTTCTGTGAAATCTCTCTGGATGTTGTTCCCTTCTGCCTGTCAGAATCTGTGTTTGAATTTACGTTTTTGCTAAGGGGTGTGTCTATGGGATGTTGCTATACCGGAACAGTTAATTAGTTAAGTTGCTGTATCGGGTCGGTAAAGTTTTCCAATCGATGTTATTCTAAATTCCACTTTCTTTTGTTCGTGTTTCAACTGTAGCATTTAAATAAATTCTGTTTCACTTAAAGCCAAGTATTTTGACCAGTTACATCCCACCTGGAACACCCACTGCACATTTACCTTTAAAATAAGGAAAAGTTAGGGTCTAGGCTACCTTCTTAAATATTTTGAGAGGGTCTGGCCTGGTCCATTACAGGTAACCAGGTGGACTTGTCCAAAGGCAGCACATTAAGCAGAAAATGATTTTCCAGAGCTATCACCCAACATCGTTCAATGCCTTTTACTGTACAAGCTCAGGCCAATGTGAGGTGCGAACCAATTGAAAAGTAAACATATTTATCACACAGTTCCTGCATCACCGCATTTTCACACAATTTTTTGACATTAGCATGTTTTGAGGCACGTCAGGCTTCCTTCTACATCAAAATGAAACGTGATGACCTACCGAGTCTAGAATTGTGTGCTGTTGCAATTGCCAGCTAACACTGTCTTGAAAAAGAAGCCAATTTCAGAGGGGCAACTGAGGTTCCAATGCCATGTGACATTTCTATCAGTTTGTCCAATAGCAGCCTTCCATTGAGTGGACAGATATATATCTTGTTTTAGAAGTTAATGGAAAGCTGGAAAGAGCTCACTGGATCTGCCAGATATGGTTCAGTGAGCAAACAATATCCAGAAAATCGTTTCTCAATGGCACAGTCTCTTAGCAGTACAATGGATCAGGTATAGATCATGGGATTCTGAGAGCACTCTGTCATTAATCACGCAATGCTTTGGGAATGGAATTGCTTCTCTCCATTCTTGCCAAGTGTACATTAACATTTCATCCAAATGGTGTTGCATGTGACACCAAGATTCCATTAATTTACAGCTTTCTGATTGTTAAATGGAAAGAAATATATTACCTAGATTTTCTTTTACCTAAGTGATGGTCCGCGAATCTTGAGAAGGGTGTAACAGATAACAACAGCCCTCATAATTCAATTACACTCCTGAAATCACTCTCCTGTGCCTGGAATTGGTACCTATTCTGATCCAGGCATAAGGGGCTTTAGCCAAAAGGCAAGAGCTGGGCCTTTTCTTCTTGAAGCAGAGGGCAGTGAAGGAAGATCTAATAAAGACGTAGAGGTTTAGATGAGATGGACATGGAAAAGATATACCCATCAGCTGTATAATGACTCAGGAATATTTATGTTCTGGGGAAAGAGATTGAGGACGGATTTGCAGAAGGAGTTTTTAAAGCATTGGGTGTCAATGGCCTGGAAACCTCTGCCCTTGAGGATGGCGATAGCACAGTCGATCCACGATTTCAACAGGAAATTGGATGGGCACTCGGAGGAAATAAATTAACCAAGCCTCAGGAATAGAGTGAGGAATGGGATTGACTGGGCTGCTCTAAAAAGGCCCAGCATTATATGGATGAGCTGAATGGCCTTCTCCTACATTGTTCTGACTGTGATGTCAACAGGATTGCTAATTCATCACAGAGAGCCTCAAACCTCTGAACCAGAACATGTACTTATTACATTACCATCTCCCATTGTAAGAGTCACATGCCAGTAATGAGCAGTACATTGGTACTGATCAAGAACTTAAAGCAGAGGTGGCTGAGCTTTATCTTCTGGGGCTCCATACTCTCAGGGATGCACAGAGTGGAGCACATATCTAAATCATAAATGTATGCTCCCATTAAACTGATAACGTATATTCAAGGCTGAGATAGATTTCAGTAAGGCAATCAAGGGTAAAGAGGAAAAGGCAGGAAAGTAAGTTGAAGATTGTCAGATCAGACATGATCTCATTGAATGGTGAAGCAGACTCGATGGGCTGAATGGCCAGCTTCTGCTCCCAAAGCTTATGGCCCACTGCTCAAGGTACAAGATCCCTCCAGCCTGCTTTAGTATTTTAGGCAATGAGGTCAATATGACTGTGACCTCATGCCTTTGCAAATCTCTGGACACATGTGTCTTGAACAGGCCAAATTCTGGCAAATGAGACTACATCAGTTTCGGATATCTGGTCGGCACAGACGAGTTGGACCGAAGATTCTGTTTCCTTGCTTTACTACTCCATAAGTCTATAACTCTATGGCATTAATACATGTAAATATTAACATCCAAGACCTAGTGAGAGAGAGACAGGTATCTGAGGGTTCAACTATTCAAGTATGGGGACCCTGTACCACTCTTCTCCAATACTTCGACATCCTATTTTCACACACATGTTTATGTGGTGAATGACTGAACTTCTATTCAGAAACAGGACTATAATTCACA